GGAACCCTTAGGCCTTGAGAACTCCCACTGAGGTCCCCTCTCACGCTAAAGGTTATGTTGGGTCCCTATCTGCCCACAGTCAGGGGAAGGAGCTATTCAGATTTGCTGGTGGTGGTTGCTGTTGGGAGAGGGCAGAGAGCAACTGAGTTAATTAATCAGGGCTCACCTCGCTCTTCTTATCCAACTGGTCTTGAGTCTGACACCTGACGGCTACTGAGCCAAGGCCCAGTTCAGCTCAGTCAGCCATTCGGATTACTTGTTGCTAGGTTGAAAACCTTCCAGGACTGACTCTCCGTGTCCTCAAGTGATGGGAAAATGGCAAAGAAAGAGATACCTTAAATGACTCTGCCCCTCTGAGTTCCTCATTCTCACCTCTATCAAAGAGAGAAGAAACCACAGCAGTCCTATGGGAAGAGGAGAGAAGAATTCCCACTGCTTCCTTCTTCAGGCAAGTGGAAACTGGAAACCCTACAGGTTCCTCCCTTGACTTGGAAGCAGAAAGGAAAATGCATCCTCTCTCTTCAATGGGAATGAGCAGGGCTGACGAGGGGGGGGAAGCCGGTACAAATTACTGGGGCCTGGCGGTCCAGAAGGGGGCCCGGGGCCCAGCTTCCCCCTCCCTCTCGTCGCCTTACCGGGACCCGGCGGTCCGGAAGGGGGTCCGGGGTCCAGCTTCCCCCCCCCTCGTCGGCCCTGTTTAGCCGGTCCGCCCTTGCTGGGGAGCCCTAAAAAATTTTTTCACTGGAGCCCAAACCTGCTCTCGGCAGCCCAGGGAATGAGGGAGACAAAATAGCTACTCAATCCTTCTCCCCGAACCATGCTTCAGTGGGGAGAAGGAACAACAGTAGCAGACAGTGAATGGAGTGTGAATGTTGATGGTAGAGGCAGAAGCCAAGGGGTGAGTGATTGGTTTAAGGACCAGCAGGGAGACAGAAAGTGGAAAGAAGGAAATGGAGGCAAAAAGGGAAGACTGAGGAGTTGGGGATGAAATGAAGGAGCGAGATATTGAGGGGCTTGGGAAGATGTGTGTAGAAGAGGAAATAGGAGAATAAGAGGACCTGAGGGATGGAGAAAGATGATTACATAGGAAAAGGGAGGAAGGGAAAAGAGACTCTGAAAAAGCATTCCTTAGATTGTAAGCTCTGTTGGGCAGGGAACAGCTTTATTTTATGTATGCTTACAGTGCCTAGCATAATGGGGCCCTGGTCTTTGATTAAGGTGCCTAGGTACAGCTGCAATATAATTAAACAATAGTGAAGATGACTATGGATAAAAAATATACAATATACAGAATGAAGAAAAATTGGAGGGAAGTGATAAGAGAACACAAGCTGGGGAGGGGACATATTGCAGCCAGTTTATTTAATTGACATTTTTTTAATTAACATTTTTAAAAGTTTAATGCTACGAATACCAAAAATAAAGACACAAATGTTTGATTCTGTGCAAAGTCTTGCATAAACTATAAACTATGTGAGAGTATCTGAAGAGTTTGTACATTCTAGGAAACACACAGAGAAAAGCAATATCATTGGAGCATTAAATGACCTGGCTTTACCAGTGTTGTAGGCAGCGTAGTTGTAGCCGTGTTGGTCCCAGGATGTTTGAGAGACAAGGTGGGTGAGGTAATGTCTTTTATTGGACCACCTTCTGTTGGTGTGAGAGAGAGAGAGCTCTGTGTGGCTTGAAAGTTTGTCTCTCTCACCAACAGAAGTTGGTCCAATAAAAGATATTACCTCATCCATCTCTCTGGCTTTACCACGACAGTCCCAGTTTTTCATGTGGTGTCCCAAGAGCTTCTTTCAGGACACTTGAAATGTCCCGGTCTTTCATTGCACCAATCAAAACTCTTTTTAATAACCACAACATGTTTTTTGAAGTTACATTGACACACGGAGAAGAATTTACCTTTGTTTACCCGCAGCGAACAGCCCAGTGGAAGAAGTGTTCCATGTCGTGAACAGTGTTTGGGGTGAAGAGAAAAGCCAGAAGAGCATAGATAATATCAAAGCTCTTCTTGTGCTCAAACTAAATATTAATGATACTAGTTCAGTGTTTCACGATAAACTTATTCAGGATGCTAAATTACTGGAGAAATCCTCCACTTTAAGAAATATGCTGTTGTTGCTTTTGACTCAGTGTATGTCTACACAACAAAAGCTGTGCATAGCCTACCAGAGCTAGCTTGAATCCAGCTGTGACGCATACCCCATAATGCTTTATGGGAATATGACATAACTGGAATATGTTTTGTGCTGCCTGTGCCATGTAACTTATCTCTGTAAAGGTTATGGTCTACTATATCTATTCATCCTATTTGTACACATATATCATTTTGTACTTGAGGTTAAGAATATGGGCTGTATGCTTGCTTGATTTCTAAGTAAGCTTTGTGAGGCATTTGGTCAGCCTCTTTAGGAAGGAATTCGCAAGGTTAAGTACCCGATCAGGAAGCACTTGGGGAACAATGCATCTTGGAATGCTCCAATCCACATAAGAAGTCTTCCTGGAGACATACAAGATACCATGTGGACAATGGCTTCTGCCTGTAAAGACTGTGAGTCATGCATGGACATGTGACTTGCACAGGTGACTCTAGAACTCCATCTTGGAGCTGGACTTTGCATAGGAGTAAGGAGGGGGTCTCCACCCACAAGAGAAAGTCTATTTAAACCCCTGGAAGACCCCTCCATTTTGTCTTCAGCTAGCTAAAGAGAGAGCCTCTCCACCCCCAAGGATACCTGAAAGAAACTGCAATGGGGTGAGTGATAACAGGAGATTAGTCTGTGAAAGGAAGCATTCTGGAACTGGTGAGGATCTTATCTGTATGCAGTTTGATTAGCAGGAGCGGCACCAGGGTTTTTGCCACCCTAGGCGGCAGCGCGCCTCCTCTGAGATTCGGCAGCGGGGGTCCTTCCTCTCCGTGTCTTCGGGGCACTTTGGCAGCGGGTCCCGGAGCAAGTGAAGGACCCACCGCTGAATTTCCACCGAAGACCCAGAGCGGAAGGACCCCCCGCCGCCGAATTTCCGCCGAGGACGGCAAAATGCCGCCCCCCAAATCCTGCCACCCTAGGCGACTGCCTATGGTTGCCTAATGGAAGTGCCGGCCCTGTTGATTGGACATAGATTTGCGCATTTTATTTTATTTTGCTTGGTGACTTACTTTGTTCTTTTCAGAGTAGCAGCTGTGTTAGTCTGTATCCGCAAAAAGAACAGACGTACTTGTGGCATCTTAGAGCCTAACAAATTTATTTGAGAATAAGCTTTCGTGGGCTACAGCCCACTTCATCGGATGCATAGAATGGAACACACAGAAAGAAGATATTTATACATACAGAGAACATCCGATGAAGTGTGCTGTAGCCCACAAAAGCTTATGCTCAAATATATTTGTTAGTCTCTAAGGTGCCACAAGTACTCCTGTTCTTTTTACTTTGTTCTGTCTGTTACTACTTGGAACCACTTAAATCCTACTTTCTGTATTTAATAAAATCACTTTTTATTTATTGATTAACTCAGAGTATGTATTAATACCTGGGGGAACAAACAACTGTGCATATCTCTCTATCAGTGTTATAGAGGGCGAACAATTTATGAGTTTACCCTGTATAGGGTAAAACGGATTGATTTGGGTTTAGACCCCATTGGGAGTTGGGCATCTGAGTGTTAAAGACAGGAACACTTCTGTTAGCTGCTTTCAGGTAAACCTGCAGCTTTGGGGCAAGTAATTCAGACCCTGGGTCTTTGTTGGAGCAGACGGGAGTGTCTGGCTCAGCAAGACAGGGTGCTGGGTACCCGAGCTGGCAGGGAAGGCAGGGGTAGAAGTAGTCTTGGCACATCGGGTGGCAGCTCCCAAGAGGGTTTCTGTGATCCAACCCGTCACACCAGCTAGTGCTGATAACAATAGCCATGAAGGCAGTGAAGCACAGGTTTCAGCGGGGGTAGTACAAGTCTGGCACAGACCCTTGGTACGTACTCAGCGCATGAGCCCACTCTGAAGCCTGTGCTGTCTTGAGTGCTATTATTTCCCATGCTAGCTGGATTCACGCTAGCTTGGGTGGGCTAACTGACAGTAGGGATGCTAGCACACACTGAGAAAAAAAATTAAAGGTTTCGTATGAATATTTCATATCTCTAAAAAAAATGTTGCCACAAAACTGTTTATTTTGTCCCCATTTTTTATTTTGAAAATATTGTATTTGAGTGTCCCTCAAAAACTGTTTAGATATATATATCTGTATACACAGAGAGAGAGAGAGAGGTATATTATGCACATGCACCTCACAGTAT